TGGAGCTGAACTGATAGCGTGTCTTCAAAGGCGCCGACTTGCCTGCGTTGTATATCAAACATCACAGGACCCTACAACTTAGCTTAAAGCGCCCAATTTTTGGGACAATGTTAGTCTTTGAAGTGGGGCATATTTATTTCTTCTTTAAACAAAACGAGATCGATGGCCTGGAGAAAGCTGCTGTTGGAAGCAACCAAATACATGTATATTATGGATGATTATGGTTATCTCAAAGCAGAAGTCCTTATCAGGGTTATATGCTTCTGTCTCAAAGCTTAAGTTTAAGCTTATCTAACACAGCACTTTATTTGGTAAATTTACAACTATAATTTTTGTTTTGTTTCCAACATGCAGAAAGATGGTTGACAAAAAACATGACAAGTGGTTCTAAAGTGGAAGAGGAGTATGGTCACAAATTTATGTTTTATTTTTTTACCTCATGAGTGTTAAAATGTTTTTCTAGCCAAATGGCTGTGCTCAAAGAAAATTTGAAGGGTCTGAGTCCATTGCTATGAAACTGTGAAATCCACACTGCTCAAGATATGGTTCCTATGAAAAACTTTCTTTTAGGCTCACGCGTTCAAATGTCGAATTTCACTTGAGCCAAACTTAACGCAAGAGTTAAATGCATGTGAAGTGCAACGTTTGAATCAATTAAATAAGACTGTTTAAATTAAATGCGATGTTTGCCTTATCTGCGACTGAAACAGTTGAAGATTTGACTAAGGTTCAACTTTTGATTCAAACGTTGCATTTCACATGTGCCAACTTAATGCATGAATTTTGGTAAATTATTATTATATTACTGGGAATATTGACTTTTAACAGAGTTAAATTCAGCAGAGTTTAGGGAGTTAAATTTGACGTTTAAATCAAATGCCGCATTTAACTATTTAAGTAGAGTAAATTAGGAATAAAGTTCGGGGCATGTGAATTTTGATGTTTGAACTGGGCCTTAGACACTCAGGATTAAAAGTCAGTTGCCACGGGTGACCTGGAGAGCACAGCCTCAGGTGTTGTTTACCTTAAGAATCTTATCCCTCATGCCAGAGCTATGGCAAAGCCCAGGTTTGAGGGTGGGATATCCGAGAGGCCAGCACCTGATGGTCCATCATGAGCCACATTCAGGCCACTTCTGAGTCAAGGCTAGTCTGCTACACAGCCGTTTTTAGTGTCATCACGCAACGCTCCTCCCCACTAACGGCTGCTGAAAACCAAACTACATTGCTTTCCCGTGATTAACCAATTAAAATTCAGCTCCCATTTTCTGAAAAGTGTTCGCGCCACCTTTGCGGTACTGTGACTCCTCCAATCACAGCTTTGCTTTTATCGTTGCCCCATGTGTGAATGACAGAATAATCAAAATCGTCGCGTGAAAACAAGCAATTAACTACAGTGTTGTCGTAGTCGAGTCCTATTCAAAATTTAGGAGATAAGCAGCAACAGCAAGCAAGTCGAGCAAATTGCAATTCACAACATGGATGTGCTCATAAAGTTGCCAGGTTTAGTTTTGGGAAATTGCTCCTCGATAATTTATAAGATTGCTTTTTGACTTAGTACCCTTGAGAGTTTAGTCTTCAGAGAACACAATGAGCACATCCGGTACGTTAAATTCGTCACTACATATCAGCACATATGCACGTTACATGAAGAACCAACCGATCCTGGTAAAAGTTTTCTAGGCCTATCAAACCTTCTTTTCACTTGGAACTTTCTTGACCACTTAAAACAAACTTTTTTGCAAATTAACCTTTTCGTTGCTTGAAAACACAGAGCATGACAGAGCCCGTCTAAATTCGGCGACGATTGATTGATTTGTCGAAAACTGAGAAGCGTGCTCGCTTCTTAGCGCCCTGCGGCTCACGTATTGTCAAATTTCTTGTACATGATTGGTTTGTTCGTTAGTCCACAAACACAAAGGGAAAGGAATGTAGTTCTGTTTTCAGCAGCCGTTAGTGGGAAGGAGCGTTGGGTGACGACACTAAAAACGGCTGTGTAGCAGACTAAGTCAAGGCCTAGGCCCAGTTGTTCTAAGGCTTATTAGAACCCACACGGGGATAAATTTTTAAATAATTTGGTTTCCTTTTTCATTCGTTCAAAAACATTTTCACACTTAATGTGCTCTTCTTTTTTAGAGCATCCAATCATCAAATTGCAGACAAAAAGAACTTTTAAAGTGAATTTGTTTATAAGCTTTCCTATCTCAACTCAAAGTTTGCATAAACCAGCATTACACAACCTGGCCTGACCTTGTTTATATGAATTCATATGAATTTAATGAGAAAGAGAGTGGAGATAATAGAAAAGTATAATATGTTATTAGTAGTATGAGGCTGCCTTCCACAGAAGATAATCAACTGTGGCAATTTTTGTCTTAATAGGGTACCGGTAGCTTAATTTATCATATACATCCAGGGTGCAAAGAAAGTCAGTTTTACAGCCTGCCATTCTGGCAAGCTGTAGCTACCCCGTACTAGCCCACAAGTTATTTCAACTAGCCCCCAAACCCTTTTTGAATAGCAGGATTGATTACAATCCTTCGGTAATTTGACCAGAGGAAAAGTTGTGATAATCAAAAATTTGGTTAATTGAGGTCCAGATAATCAAGGTTTAACTGTTGGCTTAAATGTCCAAAGTCCATTATTTGTTTATAGATTTTAATAACAGTACATGTTATGGATTTTCTAAGAGCTTATATAAATGTAACTTGGATTATTTGGTTAACTGGCAAACATTGAAGAGTGCAAATGGTATAGTCTTTGATTACTTTGCAAATTCTCAAGCTATCAATAAGATGCATGTACAAAAATATATTATGATATGTGAAATTTTTGCTGTTTACCAAATTTTAGTCAAGTCTTTGTAGCATTATTGATTAATGACAAATGTACATTAAACCCTCACAGTCACTCCAGAAGTCAGCTATTTCATTAGTTTTGTTACCTTTGGCAAGTATCAATAGCCCACCAAACAAACCTTGGCAATTGTGAGGCATTTGCGTTTTGTTAGTGTTATTTCCTAAAGTGCATTTAGATATATTTTTAATATAAGAAATAAGAATATTTTGTCTGGACAGTCAACTCTCTTTAAGATGGACACCTTTGGGACCAGCACTACTGATTCGGTATATCCGTCTTATAGAGATCCAAATAGAGTGAGTTATAAAGAGAAACAGTGACCATCTCAAGGTTTCCACTTAACAGAGGTGTTTTTAATAGCTATTATTTAAAATTACATACTCTAATAACAGTGGAACTAAGTGCAATGAAGATTGTTATCTTTCCTGTGGTAAATAACTAAAGATACACTTTGTTGGATGTTGTACCAATGGTACCTGAAGGGAAAGTTTTATTTAATGGTTAATTTTTACTGGGTATGTGCTGCTGGCCTCTCAGTATCCCTATCCCATTACTGTATACCGATAGTCTACTCTGTGGCCATATTATAGACCCCATTTCGGTCACTTTGGAAAAAAAGTGATTTTTGCAATCCCAACTTGGTCACTTTCTGTTTATTTATCTACCTAATAAAGTCTTTTGACTTGGTCATCCTGAAATGAACTGACACTTGTTAAACTTAATGTTTTAGTTTTGTTTTACAGTTAATTGTAAGATCAGGACAAGCTTTGTGAAATAAATGAGAATTGTCAGTTAAAATTCTTGAGTCATTTTTCTTTAAATACTGTAATCACCTTGCTCCCTTTACAGTGGAACTCTGATATTTAAGAAGTTTCAAGGAGCAAAGTGCAATGAAGATTGTTACTGTTTTAGCAGTGTCTTCGTTATATCAGGGTTTCAGGCATGGGTTGTGATAAATGAGGGGGAAAGGGATCGAACTGATGGTCTTTCAACCTGTCCTAGTTGAGTTGAATGAACTTCTGCAGCATTAGTCCACTTTAAAGAAAGGTTGAAAGCTTGTGTTAAGTGCAGATTGCAAGAAGCAATAAAGGGGTAGATGCCAGGGAAGAAAAGAGAGAAGGGTAGTACGTATGTACTGGCTTGGCACGCTCACTTTAACAATATAAAATTTGCTCTATATTTGTCTATACAAATATGTTATTTGACAAAGTTTGAACACATTTGAACACATTTGTTTGCAGTTTGGCTCATTTATCTGTATTTGTCACAAAGCAAATGTTAAGTTTGTCCTACATTTACACAGCATTTGTTCACATTTGTCTTAGATAGCAAATGCATCATTATCCTATTTGTCTTAAAGACAAATGTCTAATTTGTGCTTTGCACAAATGTGAACAAATATGACAAATTTTATATTTAGACCACATTTGTCCCACATTTATCTCATTTCAAATCTGTTTTTTCATCCAGTGACGGCGTCTGAAGACGTGGCTTCTATCCAGGATGGGTGACCTAGCAGTGTTGAATGGTCACAAGCGGAGAACAGACAGTGTCTCTATAGCTACACAGGAGTTTGTTTCCTGCAATAAGAATCGCAAGAGAAGCTTCGGCACTTCGGGTAGCAACCTCAGGAGGTTTATTTAATTAACATATTGGCTATGTTGGATAGTATAACACGTGTGGACGTTTTTGTTATATTTGTTGAGGTGGTAAATAAGATGGCGCGCAAATGCAAGATAAATGGCGAAACACCGACCTGAATGTTTCTTTATATTGGCCGGAGGTTTTAGCCCTACCACCTTAAAATGGTCTCCGCGGTCCCTGGCGTTACAAGAAAGGAAAGGGGTATCCCGCTATGTTGCCCCAGCCCTGATTACAGGAGATTTGTAAACCTGGTGTTTCATACACTTATCAACGGAATGACTGGTTTTTTTCCCTGAGAATTCGACAGACTTTGTTTTTCAAAAGGTTCCAGAAGCGATTCAAAGCAAATCGTATATTTCTACAGTGTAATTAACGACTCATTAACGAACTCCGCAGATGTTCACTCCGCGCCATCTTGACGGCACAAATGATCAGATTTTGAATACCGCTCATGATGCTTAGCGATCGTAGTCCCCACACCACCTGTGCGACTGTGGAGTTCTTTCCTTAGAGGGGGGTGAGGGCAATGCGTCATTGCTGTTCCACGTGGTGAAATGCTTTGCGGCCGCTCTTCTCTGTCCTTTTCATCGCCATTTTTTCTTCAGCAAGATGCCGAAGATAGTGTGTAGTAAAACCTGCACAACTCCACGGCGTCCCTTTGAGAAGGAGCGCCTGAATCAAGAGTTAAAGATTATAGGAGAGTATGGACTTCGCAACAAACGTGAAGTTTGGCGTGTAAAGTACACCCTGGCGAAGATTCGTAAGGCTGCCCGTGAGTTACTAACTCTGGAGGAGAAAGACCCTCGAAGGTTGTTCGAAGGCAACGCTCTTTTGCGTCGTCTCGTTCGTATTGGCGTGCTTGATGAGAGCCGAATGAAGCTCGATTACGTTTTGGGTTTGAGGATTGAAGATTTCTTGGAGAGACGCCTTCAGACACAAGTATTTAAGCTTGGTTTGGCTAAGAGCATTCACCATGCTCGAGTGTTGATCCGGCAAAGGCACATACGGTGAGCGTTTGATCTTGATTTTATTCCCTGTTCATGCCAGTATTAGATTTAAAATGGAATGTGATAAACGAGAGATGTATGTAGGTGGACTGACAGTGATATGCAGTGTTGGCATGATTACTGTAAGCTCATTTGATCTGTTATCAGACAACACACTGTCAAGACATTGAAACGCTGTCAGTGTACTGTTTGGAGATCATTTAGCGTAGCAACTGTCTTTTCACTGCCTTTATCTAAACTGCAGAATACCCGGCCACTTCACTATGAAGAAAAGGAAATCTCCTTTGTGTTGACCTTTTTCTCCAAAGTGTTCCATCACATGTGAAAAAGTAGCCCGTAAGCAAGCTCTCCATGTGAGGGATATCTTGAAAAGTAGATGTGTGAGAGGCACGCGAGGGAGGACATGAAAGCAGGGTGCGGAGGAGAGAAAGGCTTTCCTTGGCCCCTCGCGGCTTCGCTGCTTGCTTGCTCGCCCTTGCGCTGCTGGCTTCGCTTGCCCAAATAGGAGAGCTTGCTCACAGGCTAGTAAAACAGGGGCCTGGAGTGGCAGGAGATAACTAAGTAACATCAAGGTTTTTGGGACACGTTGATGTGACTTAAGTTTATTTTGTTAACCAGTTCCAGGGCTGTCATTAATCTGGGAGAAATTTGATCATTGGATTTATTGGCATTTCAATATCTGGCTGCCTCATAGCTTCGCCATCTACTAAATAGAAAAATTAGTAAGAGCCTTAATGTTTACTGACAGCGTTACCCTGTCAATAAGCAAATGTAAGGGGTACTAAAACTGGCCAGTTTTCCTCTTTCGTAAAAGGTCTTTCATTACCCAAAAAGTATTTTATCCTAATACATGAGCAAGTGGTACTTAGAGTCTCCTGATGGTCTGTGGGAATTATTACTCTCCGCTCTTTTAGTGCAGATTATACTACCTAAGATCTGAAACATCATCACAGTTGTGACCTCACATGGGAAAACCTTTGAAACTGTTTTAATGCTTTCGATATCCTTTTAACATTTTTGATATCCGTTTTCCTCCCACTTCTCAGTAGTCTGTTTTACCTGTTGACAGACTGCTGTAGTTTTTATTTTTGTCAACATCAGATGGACTTCGGACAGAAACTTACTTTTTTGTGATTGGAAAACGGATGCCCTTACCAGAGTGACTTTTTAATTTAATGGTTCTGTCATAACATAAGCAATTTCTGCTTTGACCAGTGGACACTGTTGTTCTGGGGAATAATCAACTAACTGTGTAGTACAAGATACAAGCCCTAGGATTTCAAATCCCATGGATAACAATTTTTTCGGTTCTGTGCCCAGAGATCATGGGAAACCATCTGTAACAATTTTTTGGTTCCGTGAAAATTCATGCACAGAAACATGTTGTTAAACATACTTTAAAGTTAAAGAACATCAGTGTGTACTATTATTTACAAAAAACTTCATTGTCTATTAAAATGTCAGAAGAAGGCCAGTGTTAAATGTGTCTGCATCTAAGTGTGAAAAAGTCCAGACTCGTTTTCTATCCAACTGAAGAAGTATACTCACTTGAAATGTTTGCTACAGATCTTGTGTTTTCATAAAGAGATTTGGCCTTGTCATCAGTTTCAACTGTGAAATTGTCACTAAAAGACCACCTTATAAATGTTTTAAAACTTTTGGAGTTACATTTTTTATCTTGGCACTGGTAGCTATATCATTCGCTGTTGTTAACTGTAAAACATCTTTCATGCATTGGTTATCAGTAAAGTGCAATGCGCTTTGGGAACGATTCAAGATGGTGGATGATAGAAAAATGGTATCGTTTTTTAAAATTTTGTATATATACAAGGTGATTCATAAAGAATTGCTTTACCAGTTAAGAATCTGAGTGGAAAAATAGTACATTTGTGTATTTGATCCCTCAGTCTAAATATATCGGGATATGTCACTGGGAAACTATTTTTCGGTTCCATTATTTTAAGTTCAGGGTAACAACACGGTACTGGAAACGATTGTTACCATGAAATCCTAGGACTTGAAGATAGTCAATAATACATGTAATTGACGTTTCAATAATAAACTCAAGAGGAGTTTTCTATTCTTTTTCTTTTTACCATTCAGTGTTCGCAAACAGCTTGTGAATGTACCATCATACATTGTACGTCTGGACTCTCAGAAGCACATTGACTTCTCCCTGAATTCACCTTATGGTGGAGGGCGTCCTGGCCGTGTGAAGAGAAAGAATATGAGGAAGGGCCAGGGAGGTGGTTCTGATGGTGAGGAAGAGGATGAAGATTAGGTGAGTTAATGACCTCATGTTCATACAATGGTACACAGTCTCTGATCTCTCCAATATATGCCCCCCCACCCCTCCTTTTGGATGATCAAAGCTCCCTCTCTAATAGGCCATTTCCGAGTTTCCCCAAGCCTCTGTTCTAAAGCAAGGATAAGTGTGAAGCTATAGAATAAGATATGCAAATGATTTTGTATTCCCATGCTAATAAAACTCATTTTCACAACAAAGGATCTGGCATATAGCATCTTTTTACAATATAATAATTGTCATGCTACAAAGTCACTAAATGCAAGCAAAAATTGAAAGACATGATTATCTTTAGATTGGATTAACTCAAAGGTTTAGTTTAAATTAAGTGATCGGCAAAATGAGGTGGTAAAACTAATGATGGTGTATGTTCCTAACAGTGACACCACTTATGAAGTAAATGCTGAGGGTTACTACTCTAGTTATAAATAAGCCCCACCACCTCAACAAGAAGTTAATAGGGAGCTTAAGCAGTGATGATGGCGACATCATCAAAAACGACAAAAAACGACAGGTTTAGATTTGACATAACAACAACTGTGCAGGGGCATCATACTTTTTTGTACTTTCTTTTGCTGTTGTTGCATGACTATGACATAAAAGTTAAGCACTGTGTTCTACGTGTAGCAGCCTCTGGAGTAGCCTCCCACGCAAACGTTTTTAAGGGAGCTCGTTTTTCATCCCTCCCCACAAACGCCTGCTCAACCGAAAACAACATTCCTTTTCCATTGTTTTATTTGCGTGGTAAGTGACTAATCAACAGTTTTGAAATAAAGTGTTCACAGGCTAAACTAAAACATGACCCTAAAGTTACTGTTTTCCTTCTTTTGTTTCCTTTGCTAAGTTTATGCAGTGCATGGAGTATTCTAAAATTTGACTAAATCTTACTTTGCTGCTCTGAATCTAACATTTATTAGAGGTCAGAAACCTTTCCCAGTGTTTCATGCAGATCGAGTAATTATCAGATCACCCTGTGGTCAAGGTCAACTTTCCAGAATTTGGAAAGTACAATGGGATTAGCTAAGCTTGGGAAAGGAATGTTGTCTTCCGTTGAGCAGGCGTTTGTGGGGAGGGATGAAAGACAAGCTCCCCTAAAAATGCCTGCGTGGGAGGCTACTGTGGGAGGACCCTGGCACCTTACTTTTACTCTTGGGCAACTAGGAAATCTCAATTTTTAGTAAGCTGGGAACCCTGTGGTCAATTTAAGTGTGTAGCTATTGTCTTACAGCCCAAAAACAATAGCTACACTTAAAATAGTGACCCCTGGATGCATTCAGAGTATTGGCAAGCTTGCCCTATGCTTTAGTCTTGGGCCACTTGAGATTTACCGAAAAAAAATTATCAGTGAAACATGCCAAAAAATTTCTCAGTTGCGGAACATGTTAGCATGAACATTTGTCAATAACCTTGTACAATTCCAGTCCAACATTTCAAAATCCCTATTATACCTGAGAGTGTTGTGCTTACATTCACTCTTTTTAACCTCTCTATAGTAGCCTTCAATCCTCAAAAGCAATTGCAGTATATTGTAGTTCAAGCTTTGACCCTGTTGACACACGTTATAGTGCACTTAATGATTCGTTTTTCTTTCTTTATGCTTTCCAGTTTATTGATTTGAAGTGCTAGTCAGAAGATCTGGTGAAACCTCTTCAACCAAAATGTAATACTGCTGAATAATAAAACAGCTTGTTCCAATATTATTGCTTTGTCTTCTGTTTCATGACTTTGTTTTCAATCAGTGGCTATTTGCATTGAGCTTAACCCTTTACACCCTAAGATCAAAATTTGAATTCTCATTTGTTGCCCATATTTATTTCCTACAGAAGTAGTGGGGAGAAGTTGATAGAATATCAACCAAAATAAATTCGACTTGTGTGATCATGATCATAATTTTCGGGACCACTCTGTTTTACAAAGCATTGATATTACATGGAGAAATTTAATGCTGATCACTCTTGGGGCTTAATGGGTTAAAAGGGCTGTGTCACGGATGGCTCATTCATTTTGTTTATCGATGCCAGTAATGCGTCATATTTGCTATGATACTTGGCAAATTACTTTTGAATGGCAAAATCATTGCTTTATTATATCAAACAAATATGCCTTTTAAACATAATATCAAACATTACAAACAACAAAAATGAACTTTAAATGTCCATCCGTACTTCATTTTGTATTTGCCGTGTCATTTATACCTTCTTTGAACTATCTCAGTGGTTATATTCCATGTTTCACTCAATTTGGTGGCAGTTCCAACTCTTTGAATTTTGATAAAATTTGTGGCACAGCTCCTTTCACTTCAGAAATACCAGGTAAGCTTTTGCATGAAAACATGATACCATCACACGTGAAAACAACTTGTTATCTTCATGTGGAAAAGATCACTATTGCTATGGCTCCATAATAAATTGCACCTTTTGCAGCAAAAAAATATTAAAGTGAAATGGTTTGTTATTTCAATAGTGTTTCATATGACATGGCTGCTTGGAGACAAGTAATTTCTCTTCTCGTGTTGAAAAGTATTGTACTTGTTTGCGGCACTCACTCGTAAAATATGTTTCAGCACTCTAAGAGAAATTTCATATCTCTGTGCAGCCATGTAATATCCTCTGTTTAACAAGTACCATTCACATTCCCCATTATGACAGTTAATCTGATGTTGATCTCCCTTTGAAACTCCTCTAGCAGCAACCTAAAGTGCAAAGATTTAGTGGTTGTGTATGATTTCGGAACGACAGAGGGTCTTTTCCAAGCTTGTAAAATTCAGCCTAATGTTGGGAACCAGCCAAGATTCCGTAATCGATCATCAGAAATAATCAGTTTGATGTAAGCATTGATTATGATACGTACATTTTGCCAGACCAAAAAGTGAAGCTCCCGTTTATGCATTTTACATTTACAATTTACTTTGAACCATTGCAAAGAATTCCACAAATCTGAACTTAACTTTAGAGGAGAACCATTTGACTGACAAAACAAACTTGAGCCTGTGATCAATTAAAAGCTAACAGTTGGTCAACAGAAAATTAAAAAAAAAAAAGTGACATTGATGAGTTGGCTGACGCTGGTCAGCAGATACCCCGTTTTGACAGCTGTCACTTGACCATAATGTGGATGTCTATTATCAAGTTCAACACAGGTTTCAGGCTCCCACACTAGCTAGAAAGTTTGACATTTCTCATTGATTTCCCTGTGGTGCAAATGGATGGACGTACGGTGACGTGATTACCAAAATTATTCGGATGGATAGGTAACCACATTTTCTTAGCTATGGGGCTCTGCTCCTGTGCGGGTGGAGCTCCGCTATAATTAAAATGGAAAGATCTCGTCAATGTTTTCACTTTAAATCTTTTTGACTGGGGACTGCTGTTATTAACGACGATCATTTTGTGCAGTGTTTAACATGACAAAAACTTGCACCTTGTCTCTGAATAGGGTCACAGATGGATATAACCTCAAAAAAAAAGACAACTCACATGTTTTAATTTTGTTTATTTGTTAACTATACTTCTTTTTGCAATTTTATGAGTGACTGAAGGGTCACTGAACATTTTATTGTGTCGCCACTTGCGGTTTTCCATCCATGATGAATTTCATTATAATCCGTGGTCAGCTTAGTTCTTTGGCCTAAACTGTATTTTGGTTTTCTATACAGTAACAGGGTGAACCCTCTCCTTTGGGGCACTAGTGAGCTTACCCAAAGAGATGACAGATGAACGATAACAGCAAACCTAAATGTGACAAGCAAGGCAATAAATGTTTGAAATGACTTTTTGCCAATCTTTGCCTTCTTTTAAACAGATTTTTTTGTGAAAGACCAGCACAACAAAATGTGCAAGTAATAGCCCTTTTACATTGTTATCACTTATGAGGTCAATAAAAGGAACTCAGGAATGAAAGACTCCAAATAAATTAAAGAATTCATGGATTGTTGTTTGACCTAAAAAAATATGGGTGGATGGAAGAGGGAATATTTAATAGGAAGTTAAAATAAATTGTAACTTTTGTAACGTCCTGTGAACATCATCTTCAGTTACTTGATGGTGAAGTACAAGTCTTAGTCGAGTTTTGTCATAAGCTAACATTCTAACTGCCACTCTTGTTTCCACAGGTTCACTGTCTGTAATATCCAGCATTCTTTTCACAAGTTCATCCCCTGACACTCTTGGGTGGTTAATATTGAAATAAACCATATTGCTTTCCACACTTTGTAAATCTATTTCCAAGCCAAGATCTTTCATTTCATAAATACCTGTTAATGAAGGTAAATTATAGTGTTAAATTTAATAACCAAGGGTTAAAAGTTAGTTTCCTGACAAGAAAGTCTGAAAGAGGGATTCTCTCTCATCACCATCACAAAAAGTAACCACTAGACTGCTAGGCTCTGCATGGTCAAGAGACCTGTGGAATGACTTTTGCTGTTTGATATTAAACAGAAATTAAATGGAAATTAAATGGAAGCAGCATGGCTGAGCAGTTAGGGCGCTGGAGTTCAAGTCTCGCCCTGACCACTAGCTGGATTTGTTGTCGGTAGTCCCGAGCTCAAGTCCTCGACCATGCTTGTAAATAACCAACTGCAGTTCGCCTCCGGCCAGTTGGGATTCTTGACCCGTTTATGTTTGATTTAATTTATTTGTTTCAAGCATTTGCTCAGCCCCACTAGCATTAGTGCTGTAAATACTGCTGAGCCCAGTAAATAACAGAAATTTATTTTTTTAATTTGAGAATTGAGCTTTATCCTAGAGAGAGATTATGAACCAGGGCCCAGTTGTTTGAAAGTCGGTTACCATTAACGTTTAACCAGGGGTTATTAATTAATCCTGCATGGTTTTCTTTTATTCAGAATCATTTTCTTGGATAACTTTTATCTATTCTCTTTAGAGCATCCATTCCTCAATTATAGACAAAAAGAATTCAACTCTATTATTTAGTTTTTTAAGTTTCCATATCTGAATTATAAGGTAGACATCATTATAAAGTTATAAAGATGCAAGGTTGTAGCATCATAAGGCAGGCAGCTCGATCACTAGTAAGACTGCTAGACTGCATGCATGAGATGTCTACCTTACAAATGCTATTAAAATATCATTACTTAAAAAAAATTATTTTAAATCTCAGTAGAAGGTTCTAGGTTTTTTTATTCCAGTTCTCTTAGGTGTAAAATTTTCTTAGTTCATTTGATTTTTTAATATTAGTTTTTGTCATTTTTCGTTCTGTAATTTAGCAATTTTATTTGTTATATGCATAATGTGTGTGTGCCCTATTGAAAACCACATTATGTGATATAGACCTTTTGTAAAAAGAACTTTCTTATCATATTATTGTTATTAATTCAAATTTCACTTTAACCCTGGGTTTTCTTAACAAACCTTTGAAAATTACCCTGCCCAGGGACTGTTATATCCACACACCTTTTGCCAGAATCTGTGCATTAGCATGGTCCTCATGTAATTTAGGAGCTATATGGTCCAATGCATAAATTCCTGCTGCTGCTAATACCCCAGCCTGTCGCATGCCACCTCCAAGAACCTTCCGGTGTCGCCAACACCTGCTTGAAGAGGGTGTGGAAAGCAACAAAAGAGTGAAAATTGTGAGGTTAGGTAAAACCTCCCGGGAAACTGCCATACATGGCCTGATATAAAATACGTATGTTCTGCTGTGAAGGGTGTGGTTTTCAAGCAACTTAGTCTGGGATAGGGTATAGAAATCAGACAGTCTGGGGGTAGAATAGGGTATCATTTTCCAGGAAAATGATCAGTTGGTTGAAGATTTTAGATTTAGATTTTTTACCAGGGAAGCTGGTAATTTATTGCTCTCAAAAAAATGAAATTGGCAAAATGTATTTTAATTTAACCAGAAGTCAGTTTAATAGCAAAGAAAGCGTTGTTGACGTCAGTTATATTCTGGAAAATAGCAACTCTAGGATAGGGTGAGATTTTAGGACCCTGGTAGCACAGAAACTTTCCTAAAGATACCTACCCCAGGGTTAAGACCAATGAACTTCATATCAAAACATACACTGGTACAAACACTTGATGGGAAGTGAAAAGGAAAGGGAAATCCACACTAATTTAAAGACAACAAAATACTACAATGAAACAGTCTTTAAAAAAAATGGAGAGATGTTCAGACACCTGACCTTGATATGAACTCTTTGTTTCCAGCAACTATTGATCCTACCGGGGCACCAAGAGCCTAAAAACATTTTATTTGTCAGAATGACACATTCTAATAGATAGAAATGAATTAAGTTGCATAAAAGTTCTGCACATATCTTAAAAATTGTTAAGACAGAATGCATTAGGAAATTGAGTAATAATATTTTCAATTTTCAGTGGACAAAAACTCTTGTACCCCGGGTCTTGTACCAGAATAATTAAGCAATATCCCATTCTTTTTGACATTTTTCAAGGGCTATAGATATAATTAGTTATCTGTAATAACACCAAAGACTATTTCTCATGGGAACCCAAGAAAATAAATGTCAAATTTCACAAGAATTGTGAAAACACAGGTAAAATTGCGAAAATTTCATGTGTAAGGTGTCAATTTGTGAAACTTGACATTTTTTTCTCGGGCTCTCATAAGAAATTTTCTTTGTTGTTGTTACAGATAACTAATTACATCTATAGCCCTTGAAAAATGTAAAAGGGAATGTGATGATGTGGCTTAAAATATTCTGGTACAAGGTTTTTGTCCACCGAAAAATATGAAAATTACTCAGTTTCCTAATGGATAGTTTCTGTCATCTTAAGATACACTTTTTCTGCCAGTTGGTACAGAAAGGCAAATGTCAAGCTAACAGGTTTGCTGTGTATAGTCATATCAAAGCAACCTCAACTTCCAAGATGTAAAGCTGCTAACTGAACAACATTATTCTCTAAAAGCTGTATTCCTGAGCTAAGAGGCAGTCTTCCTATGTTGATAGCCACAGCTATGGGTATGATTGTACTATAGTTGCCTGTACACAGACAGGTCTACAGTGTTGGGAATCAGCTGAGATTAAATAATTGATAGTCATCTGAAATAATCAGATTGACCAAAATGATCAGTCATTAATATTATGATAGGAAAAATTGTTTTATAAGAATTTCCTGTACTTTCCACAAGTGTGCAACTAAAAAAAACCAAACTTTTGACTTTTTGGACTGATGGTCACTTTTACGGCAATATAATTGTACCCCCGTGTAACCCCTAGGAGTGCTTGCTCACATGCTATCATATTGTGAACAAAATTATTCATACAAGCAATATGTTTTTATCCATTTCCATCCCTTGCAGCCGTTTTTGTCTCGTCATGCAACACTCGTGGACAAGAAATTGCTGAGAGGGAGGCTAACCCCAGTCTTGTGTGTAACATTCTTTTGTTCAGACCTTTTATAATGAAATTAAAGGGGGTTTGATAATTATAGATTTAGCAAGGCTAAAAGCGAAGCTCTTGTCAATATACTTATAGTATACTCAAACAAAAAATAAACAGTTTAATGATAAATGGCGACAATAATGAGAACGGCATAAAAAATCAATAGGTTTAATTACAGAAGAAAAACAACTTTGCACATACAGCATACTTTTTTGTACACATCCTTATTGCCACTGTTTTGTGCAACACGTCTACAATGTGAAACTTCCAGAAATATGATACATGTTTTATTAAGAAAATGTTGGACGCGTTTTTTTCACTGCCCCGTTCTCCGTCCAACGAAAACTCCTTTGTTCTTCATTATCTCACGCTCTTGCTCTTTCTCTCTGTTAACCATGTCAGTGTAGATGTTACAGGTCAAATTTGATTTCAGTTTAAAATTACTTAACCTAGGTCAATTATTAATTTCCTTTGTCTTCTAGGGTTGGGAGACAAAGGAAACTGAGAATCAACCTACGCAAAATCAAACTTAACCTAAAATCAAATTTGAACTGTAACATAGACATAAAAATATAGTTGAAAAAAAGACTAGGCTTTGCTGTTGTCTCAAAAAGTCCAAGTGGCCACGTGTAGCCTGTGAAAGCATCCGTTTCTCCTTCGCTCTACGCCGCTGGGGACGTTTCGCAGGCTAGACCACGTGATTTACTGCCAAAAATGAAAGGGTGCTTGAAATGGGCAATTCCAGAAAATATCCATACCCAACCACGGACGGCTTCCATGTTTTATCCCCCCCTTGCCTTCGGAAATTCCAAAATGCGTTACCCCCCCATGCCCTCAGAATTCCATAATCGTGAACCCCCCCTCCCCTTCAGAATTTCCGTTTTTTTGGAAGTACATTTTCAACTTAGCAACGCCTATATGAACAAACGAACATGACGTTATGCCTCCTCAAGGCTGTGATCTAGCGGCGCCAGGCGACAAGCTTTCAGACTCTAACCTACTGCTATTAGACAGGCTGTGCAAACTCCTTTTTAGGTGCGAATTTGGCAATAAAAATAAACACCACTAATGGCAATTTTACTCCTCTTTGTTTTCTTGTGCTGTTTTGACGTTTACAAAGCAAAATAGGTCAAATTCAGACCGTTAAAATCTTTCGGTGGTCAAATATACCGTCGAGGCGTGTTGCGTCCTTTTATACGTCATGTAGTGTGCACGAAAAGTGTTCTAATCTGACAGGCGTTCCTTGGAAGCCAGGGACTGGTGCGAGTTTTTTTACTGTTCATCGGACGGGAGTAACAAGAAACTTGCAAGCAGTAAGATACATATTCCGTTTTTTTTTTCATGTGACAAGAAATTCATCAAGGTTAATGTGAAACCCACGTTTTACTGTTCACTTCTATAAGTTATGAGCGTAAACACGTGTCTGATCTATCGATGCTTGTCTTCTGCTTCCGCGGTCATACGTTCGTGGTTTATTTACGAACTACAAAAGTCCACAACAATACTGAATAGCGTTTTCCAGGAACTCACTCTACACTTTCTACTCCAGAAATCCCACCTGTGGAATTCCGCCATGCCTTCGGATTTCCAATCGTAAATACCCCCCATGCCCTCAGAATTCCATAATCGTGAACCCCCCCTCCCCTTCGGAAATCCTAAAAGCCGTCCGTGGTATGGTATGGATATTTTCTGGAATCACCCAATGAGAATTCACCCTCCCTTACATGAAGGGGTAGACATATGTGCAGATGGACAAACTATTTTCTCAGAACCAAAATGTCTTCAGCCTCAGTGGATAATACCCTCCTTGATCTGCTTCGATCACCCTCCTCGAGCTGCTTAATTCTTCATATCCTACTCAGCCTCATTCATTAATTGCTAAATAATAATATAATAATAATAATAATATTTGTTACTACCCATGGTGCTCTGCTGCGCAAGCATTGCACACGCAAGAGCTCCACTATAATAGTGATACATGTAACACCATTACCTTTGAAAGGCAAAAGGTAACTGAATCAACATGCTGGGTGACCTGTGCAACAGGGACACCAAGAACAATGGCAGCATTGAATAGTCTTGCTCCATCCATATGCACCCTCAATCCAAGTTTGACAGCTAACTCTTTAACCTGAAGAATATAATAACTAGATGTTAATTTATAATCGATGCACCAGAGGTGCTCTGCACTTCATCTCTAGCAATGGTGGTAACATCAAACCTGTGAATAAGCTTCATGAATAATTAGGGCTACGAGACGTAGAAAATTAGAATCAACCTAAGTTAAATAATTTTAACCTGAATTTAATTTTGAGCTGTAACAAATACATTCGAGAGAGATTCTCTCCCCAGCTCATCTTTGTGTTTGATAACTCTTGTTGGTGCATACTGTTACATCTTAAAGGGGACGTGTCACAAACTGTATCACAATTCAAACAGTCCCGACTGCCAAGAATTAATTGAGCGAAACATCAAAATAACTGCTCAAACCACTCAAACAAGGTGTGAATACCACAGTCCAGACAAAAGAAGGTATTGATGGGCATCAGTTTTCCAAAGTTCATGTTTTCTGTCTTTAACATTTGATATACTGTAACGTTTAGGAGAAATATTTGTTTGACATGAAGAAGGGATCAATCTTTTCCTTTGCAAGTAATTTCTTTGCTAAAGATTAAAATTCTGTTGCAAATAAGGACATGTTATTGGCAATATTAACAAAATGAACTAGACAGCCACGACGATAGTACAGCAACTTTAATTGACAGGCCCACCGAGAGGCAATAAGGTTCTTAAAAAATTTACCCTTTGAAGATATTCTAATGACAACACTCTGCCACCAGTTCCATTATGTGTTTGTTCAACACAAATTAAGCGACTGATTGGTTGATGAGCATCCTCTCTTGATCTGACTTTGCTTTCTATCTCTAGTAAGTCTAACGTCCCATCAGGATTGGTGTGCACCTGGCGAGGGTGTACTCCAGCAATCTGTGAAATAATAAACCAATAACATTATCAATAATAGTCAGTTAAATAGTTGATTACCGGGTAAATAACAATTTATCATTTAACATCCAGTATCATATTATTTATCATTTCCGATATTTGAGCAAAAATTCAAAGCTGGCTAATGTCTTGTTATAATGAGTATTATAGCACTGCTCAATGTTGAGATCAAGATTTACACTATGTCCAGTTATACAGGATATTACTAGGCCGCGTGTAGATACAAAATTTCTCTTCAAGTTTTGAAAAATATTTCACGAGTGAGCGAAGTTCTATTTAATAAAATAAACAACAATAAAGTAACCAATATGATATAATATAACAGAATAACCTGTGCGACGCCACCTTGTTCCCAAATAGTAATGTGGGCAATATCACCAACAAATAGTTCATCTCCTCTACCAGAACAGTGAGCCATTACTGCAGACAGAAACAAAAATAATAATGAGGATTTGCAGAATTTCTACTAAATCTCCTTATGACCCTGGTATATCGGGCCAGCACTCCATTTTGGGGATGCAAATGGAGATCTGATTAAACAAGGACTGGAAAACATCTCCTTATGACTGGGTTATATTATATCAGGGTCCTATTCCATACATTTCTCTAGCATCATTCGCTCAGACAAGATATGTTCTTACTCAGGGTTGCCACTCATCAGAAAGTTAAAAATTCCCTGACTTTTCCTTGACCTTTTGTTAATGAGAAGCAATCCATGTTTTCATTCACTTTAGCTTTTTTGCAGGCCATCAATAGTTTTATTCTTCATTTTCAACCTCTTTCCACTTTTTGCAGAAAGAGGAAGACGGAATTTGGAAGAAAGCATTTACAACGAAAACCACTCAGATCACAATTACTACATGTGTTAGATGTAGAGTGTCAAATTGATTGCTTTGCTTGCTTAGCATTTTCCGTGTAATTTTAGCCATTATTGTTATAATTATTATCATTTACAATGATAAATGTTACATTCTTTTCCTTTTATTTTCCTTTACGTTGACATAATCAATATTGTAATTGGCAATGCCATCTACTGACATGAAAATGCCAATGAATGTTGTTGTTGTTGCTTTGCAGCACACTTTTCATCTTTTCCGAAAGAAAATGCATTTCAAAATCTTGAAGAAAACTTATGAACTCTAAACCGGAAAACAGAATTCCCTGACTTTTCACTGACTTTGACAATATCAAAGATTTTTCCTGACTTTTTAAAAAATTTCCTGACTTTTCCCTGATGGTGGCAACCGTGTTATTTAAATCGTTTTATATCAGTGAGGGTTTCGCTGATCGGTGAATGAGTTGACCAGGACTCCATATAACCTGAGAGTAAAATTAATCTTGATTTTCTCATGGCTGGGCTACATTTTTCTGGTATGTAAAGAGCAACATTTGAAGGTACCTTTAAAAATCTAATATTTGGAAACTGCCTTTGAAACATTTCCTCATACACTGACAGGTTTAGAAAAAATTATTCCAGAATACTGACCTGACACTAAATTTCCCATTGTCCCACTTGTTACAAAGAGGGCTGCTTCTTTTCCAGTTAACTCTGCTGCTTTCGCTTGCAAAGCTATAATGAGTATAAAAGTATAAGCAAAGAATTCTATTTATGTGCACAATTAACAGAATCAACAGGGAACTGATCACGGGATCTAAAAAACCTTTCTCAATGCAATAAAAAGTTCTGGGACAGCTGCATTAACTAATTGACAATTAACTTGAATAAACTACTACATTTAGCCTAAAAAAATTTAATTGTTCAATGGCAAGTAATCCACAATTTAGTGCTAAAATATAATCTGTTTGCCAACAACATACGATTAGTTTGTGATTTACAAGTACGCAAATTAATGTGAATTAAATAATCAGCATGTTACAAGCGTGGGACAAAGGAAAAATCTGAGTCCCTGACAGGATTCGAACCTATGACCTCCCAAACACCAGACGGGCACTCTATCCACTACGGAGAACTCATGGAGAGCGAGGCCATATACAAGGTTCATATTTCACATGCGTCCTGCATACTGCTAGGATCAGCAATGTCGATGTCACACTGTGTGGTGAAAGAAATGAAAGATGGTAAATTTTTAGCTCAGTGAAACAAATGTGAAAATGAAATAATCAGCATATCACAAGCACAGGACAAAGAAAAAATAATAAATTCATATTAATGAGATTAATATTCACTATAAAAGTCAGTATAGGGACTTAAGCCCCATTTACAGGATAGGTGATGGTAGGCTGGTAACACTCCTAAAAAGGCAAATAGTGGTCAACATTTTTGGGCAACAGATTGGGTGTAAGTAGTTAACTTCCAGTGGAATAATTCAATGAAAACATCAGTGGAACAACAGTATCAAAAGTAAAGGAATTGATTCTACTGCAACAAATTTTTCATGGTCCTTCATTAGTTTGCAAAAGTGCAGCTGTAAAATTGTCGATTGTTTTACACAATTTCGTGGAACTGTGTAAAACAATTGATAATTTTACAAACTCTGCCTGCTCCGAGCAAGAAAGTGTTGAAGAAGATATAGTGGATGTCCTTACTGATGACAAATAACAACTCGTCCTCATCAGCTGTCAAGGTCTGTGCATTGTTATCTTGATTTATTGAAAAAAAAAGTATTTAAGACTTAACCTAAGCTTTCTACTAAAAAAACTAATTCCTCGATCATCTTGTGGTTCCTGTCACGATGAGCTATCTAATTGCACTGTCGCTTGTAACCTATCAGTACATGCGAAGTGCGGGGCTCAGAAGGCTCTATTGTTTTTTGACTAATCGGACAAAAATCAAGATTCTCAACTATGGGCAGACGAAGGAAGTAAATCAAAAATCAACAAGGTCTGGAAGGGGGAATGCTGATCCTTCATTCCTGCTCTTTTTTCAGGAAAATCTCTTATCCTGCACTTTTTTCATTGCTTTCCTAAATCCTGTTTTTTTTTTCCAAAACATTGAAGTCAAAAAAATACTAATTGCTACAAAAGCTAATAAATGTGAGATGCAAATTGGCCCCTTTGATTGTTTATTTTGAACTTATGCATACTGGTATTTTAAGACCATTGCAAAAACAAAACAGCCTTTCATACTGCAGTATGCTGAAGCAGGGTGGGGGAAGTGGAATAAAACGAGAAGGAGACACCATACCCGGGGGTGGGGGGTATTTTAGGACTTTTTGGGTGGGGATGTGCCGCTGGAACCCTGCAACCCTTAGCCTATATCAGAGCTAATTTGAGTGAATTTTGCTACCCTATACTAGAGTAGCTGTTTTCCAGAAACAACTGCGGTCACTAGCACAGTCCAGCCAAAACAAAACCGATTTGATTTTTTATATTCTTGAGTGGCAATTCCCAGTTTCCCTAGTCTAGCCTAAAATCTTCAGCCAATGTTATATACCCTATCCCAGGGTAAACTGCTTGAAAACCATACCCTTCACAGTTACACATACCTATATAGCCCATATATGGCAGTACCTCCCCCCCACCTGCGGGACACCACACTGAACCCTTGCCTGTCTGTTTTCGAATGCCCGACAGACATGCGAAAGGAAATCCCGCAACCCGTGCCCGCTTCCCGGGTAGCAGTCAGATCCTGTTGCCCGTCAAGACATTTTGTGTTTTCCCGAATCCCGCACCGTATTTTAGTCAAATCTCGGATCCTGAAAGTACCTTCCAGACCCTATATATCAAGCGTCTCTTTTCCCCTCGCCTTCAGAACAAAAAGGGAAGAAAAGGGCCGCCTGATCGCAGTTTAAGACGAAGGAACGTAAAATTTAAACCAAGGATAAAACTGAACCACAACATGTTAATACCGCAAATATGCTAGTAAAACAAATTCTAACCATTGACGGTTGGATCGTCTCCATAAACATCGTCACCAACTTCAGCAGCCGCCATTGCAGCTCTCATTTCTTCAGTGGGCACAGTAACAGTGTCGCTTCTCAAATCGATCACACGACCCTCCATTTTCTTATCATCGAAAACTCCTCCACTTGTGTACAAGCTGGCAAAGTATCTTAGCCTCGAAACTGCAGATACTTTAGGGAATAATTGTAAAGCAAGTTTTTTCCCGCTCAAAAGGGACAACATGGTGGGCCAGCTGTCGTTAGAATCTGTCACGCAACCACAGGCCAACCAGGCATCGTGATGTCGCACGCGACAAGTGTTCCAGGCGTTCAGATAGTAGAGTGCGGGAGAAAAATTCACGAAGAAAAAAAAACGAAAACGCGGAATTTTGCACCTTTTAATCCCAAATGTTGAGCCAATAGCGTACGTTTTTAGTGTCATGTTCACCCCCGGCTTTTTGTAATCGCGGGTGTCAGTCTCGGCAACAAACCGTCCGTTCCATTTGATTTTTAACCGAGAAGCCCCTAGGAACGAAGTTGGGCGAGATCAGCTCTCCAGCTCTGCGTCTTTGCTCTGCGTCAGAGTACGAGCAGTCTCTCTTTTTTCTAAGTCCGTCGTTCGAAACGCGCGAGACACGCAAATAATCACGCGCGCGACTAAAAACGCCGCCCTCGTTTAAAGTCTTTGCGAGAAACGGGGGGGGGGGATTTTTTGTTGCGACAATGGAGCACTTTCGGGATCCCCCCTTAAAGCATGCAGTGTGGTTTTATCCCCTCACATTGGCGGTGGAAGATTTCATGATCCCCCCTCTTCTATTATTACGGGGATACCTTTCAATGACTCTAAAGAATTTTTAAAAAACATACGTATTAAAACATGGAACTTTGTGGACTTTTAAACTATAACCACAAAGGAGTACAAAGGACCGCGAACGAATATGCCGAACGAAGGATCTATAAAGACCTGATCAGCAAAAACAATAAGTAGAAATGTTAAATTCTGCAAGCAGAATACTGCAATGCTGAATAATGATGTTTTCTGTTGGTGTGCCGCAGGGATTGCCCATTTGTCAGATCTCCATTTTTAAAAAAGAGCGGGAAACGTAAATTGCTTCATAAGCTCATAAACTCAAATGACGTCATTTCTTTAAAAAATGTGCAACACTCTCGTTATCAATCGCCTGGACCGTAAAACGCCTGAGGACAGTGCCCTACATTTTTTTATTACGACTTTTTCTTGATCGAGTAAAATGAGAAATTTTGAAAACTGAACGCAAGATCTTGAATAATTAACCAACACTTTTTATTTATAAACATCTATCGCCGGGAAACTCCCTTTCGTGGTTTGGGAGGAAGGGAAATACCCTTAACCTCTATCGATCACGGCGGCAACTTTTACTTGAAATCACGGCTATTGCATCAGAAAACTGGTCAATCCGAGGAAAGGCCGATTTCCTTGATTTTTTTCTGTCCAAAATTCAACCTGGAGTCCTTAGAAAGCTAGAGTAACTATAAGTAAGCGACCAGAGGAATTTTTTTAGAGGATCACCCTAGCTGCGCATTTTAAATAGCTTGATTTTTTGCTAAAAGCATGTTATAGCCTGACCCTAGAATTATATTAGTGAAAGGCTTTTTCAAGGTCACCGTGTAGGTTTTGTTGCTCGTTTCGAAAAGAGCAGGAAACATTGCAATATCAGCTTTTCTGCAATGAAAAAATCCTGAAACGAGTCCATTCCTTTGCAATTATTTAATAAAATGCACCGCGATTTCGAGATCGAAGCGACCCGATATAGAGGCTCGCTGATCAAGCAAATACCAAATTGTTGCATCACCAACATGCAAGAATTATTTCGTAGCGCATTTGTATGGCAGGGAAATATCCCTTCGCTATGGATTGGATAGTATTTTTAGTCTTTTTTCGAGGACAGGGAATTACCCTTGGCCTCTGGTTTATGATTGGTCAGAATCGAAAGCAAAGATGACGTCATGAAGCCTATAAATTCTCACACCCGACGGCGGGCAAATTCAAATCGTCAAATTGCCTTCAGTTTTATGCGACGTTAAATCGACTGATAGGTCGAAAACTTTTTATTTGCTGGTCTGTCCTAGGGAGCCCGAGGAAGCAAGCGGGAGGAAAAATAAGCGAAATCGTAAGTGAAAGTAAAGAATAAGAGCTCTGTTCTGTCAAACGTAAGCTGCCATCTGAGACCTTTTCACGGTGGGTTTCTTGACACGCCGTATAAATTTATTATAGGGAGCGAACACAGCGAAAAATTTACACAGGATTTTCAATCAATTTTGAGGCCTTGGGAGTTCACTTTGACGTTCCTTTGTAGCAGTCAGATCTATGTCGATAAAACTTCACCGATTTATAATATATTGAATATATTATTTGTTGAGTGTGTAATCTTTAAATAACCATGTTGTTTTCATTTGCTTCTCTTCCTAGAACTGTGATCACCTTCTACACAGTGGACTCACTATTTCCAGTACAGTGTATAAGGTAACTTGGAATACTTTTCTGACCTTTTTTGCTCATTCATTTACCTTACGAGAGAGTAATGACCATATTGTATTGAACTTCTGCGAAATTGTCAAAATTGTAGCGCGCGCAAAGCTTCACAACAAAGTCTAACTGTCACAAGATAATCAAGTTCCCCGGTTTCTCTCGCCCTCTCTATGTTGAGGACAATGGAAGACGCAACCTTCACTAGCGAAAATTTGGCATAGTTTAATCGATAACTGCATTTCGTTTATTGTCAAAATAAGTGATAGCTTTTTTAAAAATCGTTGAAGAAAATGTGGCAAAATTAGCTAAAATCAACCTTCACCAACCCAAAGCTTCGCGTGAGCAGTACATACAGAGTCCACTTTTTCGGTATTCGTGGACGTGTGGTGGCAAGATACTCTTTGTATGGTACGGAATGTGTTTTTGTACAAAAGCCATATTAGCTTGATGTTTTGAAAAGCTAAGCCAGGCTCACCACTGCTTAATTCTCGGAAACTGAGCACGACTTAATTTTCTCAGAAGTCACGCTAGACTAACTCTCGTCACACCAAGTCCTTACCATACAGCCGACAACTCGGCCGTGACCTCTTCAATTATACGGGCTCCTGGTGTAACCGAGAAAACAACGGCTACCAGCAAGTTTTATTCGTATCCTTTTCCCAGTTTAACACTAGTCTTTCTTCTTCCGTGTTTCCTCACAACAGGAGCCCGTTGGAAAAAGAGATGGCAAAGAGGCCTCGGCTCCCGCCTTTTCTCTCTTCAGTCTCTTCTCATCTCCCATGTTAATTTTTCAGCCGTTGACTAACAGCGGTCGTTTCAGTCAAGTGGCGCGTTTAGTGAGTTCTGTTCGTCAGTTGTCCTCCAACACATCCTCGGAGACCCAGGGGCAGATAGTGGGGGCAAGGGAAAGTCTAAACGGGCGGAAAAATAAGGAACGAAGAAAAGAAAAGAACGGCGAGAAGAGCCCCTGGGGACAATGTCTTACCAGACCAGTTCCAAACGGTCGCCGCCGTTCTGTCTTCTGATTGGTGCCAGAAAACAAGTTTTCTGGCACCAATCAGAAGACAGAACGGCGTCGACCGTTTGGAACTGGTCTGGTAAGACATTGTCCCCAGGGGCTCTTCTCACCGTTCTTTACTTTTCTCTTGTGCCATATTTTCCCGCCTGTTTAGACTTTCCCTCGCCCCCACTATCTGCCCTGGGTCTCCGAGGATGCCTCCAACAGAAAACTGCGGGGATACTAAGCAACAAAACAACTTTGAGACGCTGTTTGTGGTAGTAACCAACATGCGCATGGTCTCTATGGCCAATATGAAACT